AATTGAAAGTTTGCATCAGAATAATCAAACAAACCAAACTGATTTTGTTTCTGAACTGACCCAGCAAAGAAGTTTGTGATTCATGTATGTAAGACTCTCTCTTAGCACCAATTCACTAGAAAGATATGTTTATGATCATAACCTTGATTCTAAAAAATAGACTTACATATCTGAATCATAAATGTTAAATTCACTGTTTTGGTCACAACACCTATACACTTGTTGTATACTGAACTTCCCCTTTCCCTCTTATTCTAAAACTTCTTCAGATAAAACTCTTTATCTTTCTTTAGATAAGTCTTTCCCATGTTCTCTTACTAAACACAGATTCACAAGTCTGAAGGCTGCAGACATTCCCTCCCTATTTACTACCTCCTCTAATTTCTAGTATTAGCTGCCAGCTTACAAGAGCTTGTGGTTGGAAAACTGTCAGTAGCTGAACTGTCCCAGGCTGGCATGTCAACCGCAAACCGTGGGCAGAGGTCTCCTTTCTCATTTGATAAAAGAATAGAGCATAGAAAGAGAACTGTACACTGACTGCATCGTTTCCACAGTAAGGCCAGACACGCAGGAGACTGCAGTGTTACCACTGCAAACACAAGTTAGTGCCTTCTACAAAAAGGTCAGAGCATCAGCTCCAGACTTGTAGGTGATCTCAGACCTACTAAAAATAGTCTAATTCACTGAACAAAGACCTACTGATGCCATTTTACCAAAGACCCTTGTCATTTTGTTTGTATCATTCTGAAACCAGTAACCTTACTTCGGGCACTGTGAGTCATTATCTGCTGTTGCGAGATTTACAAGAGGCAGAATCACATTGTCCTGGAAAGTGAAAGATCTAATAACTCCTTTGGTTACAACGAGCAGTAGATGCAGCCCAGCGAGCCAGCTCCTACACTGAGATGCAGTACTGAGATCATGCATCCATTTCTCTTGGTGGGGAGCCTCTCTCATGAATCAGATTACAACATGTTTTTCTGAAGCTATGCCAGTCTGCCTTTAAGGCATAATAATTAAAAAACCTGCAACCAAAACAAAACAAAAAACCAAGCATGGGCACAATGGATTAGACCAAGCATCCATTCAGCCCCATACTTGATGTATGTGTCCACTGGCCAATATCTTAGTAAAAAGCCTAAGAAACAGGGGATATATAAAGCTGCAATTGTCCCTCAACATCCATTTAGGTTCCAGCCTCCTGTAACTTAGAGATTTTCTTGTTTGTTTGTTTTTTTTTTTTTAAATCTTTTGCCAACTATGAAACTCATTCTCAGAAAAATGTAATGAAATAGCACTTCATTTATTTTAAACCTGGTGCACAATATTTACATTTAGTACCTCTGAATCTTGTACTGAGAGAAGCAATCACCTAAACATCTTCCCCATGCCATTCACTATGTTACACACACTTATCAATACCCTCTGCCCACTGCTCCACCTCAAGCTAGAAAGTCTAAGTCTATTCAATCTTTCTGAGCATGAACATAGCTCCAAGTTTTTGCTTGGTCCTTATTACCATCATATATACCCAATTCTTATAGATATGTTTCAAAATTAGTTGAAGAGAATTAGAGATGTTACTGAAGATAGAGGTGCACGGGGAATTTATACAGTGACTTAACATATTTATGTGTTTTCTGCATTTGCCTCCTGATATGTCAGTGGTCTTTTAACCATAGCTGGTCAGTAAGCTGCAGAACCATCCACAGTAACTCTGAGATTTCTTTCTGGATTTCCAAGTCATAACTAAGTCCATCACTAAGTATGTGCTGTCAGATCAATCTTCTCAACAAACACTACCCTACATCTACCAGAACTGAATTTGGCCTGCTATTTTGTTGCCGCATCGCTTAGCTCTGTGAGATCCCTGACGTTCCTCGCAGTAAGCTTTTGGTCTTGCTACCTGGAAAAAAATGTGTCAGCACTTTATTATCCATCCTCTAGATAGCTTATGAGCACTTGGAAAAGCAGAGATCCCAGCACATGTTCTCCAGAGGACTCCAGGGTTAACATCCCTGTACTGCCCAATCTTCTTATTTTTTTTCCATACAGTTTCCAATCTTTATCTAGTCACTACCTGACCACTACAGGATTACACCAGTTTAATTTCCCAAAAGTCTCTGAAAGGCCAAGTATTTGGTTGTTGAGGGTTTGGTTTGGTGGTTTTTTGTGGTTTTGGGGGATTTTTGGTGTTTTTTTGTTGTTGATTTTGTTTTTAGAAATCCAGACATATTGTATTAGTTAAATCACCTTCATCAAATGCTCATCCAGTCATTCAAACAAAATGAGCAGATGCACAGGGCGGGACTTCCTGGTGCAGAAAACAACTTGACTCCTCTCTATTATCGCTTTTATTCCCGTGAACAAACACTAATTCTATTCTTTTTATATAGTTTCCACCAAGATGCCTAATATAGAAACCAGGCTCACTCTTAGTTTCCGGTTTCCCAAATGTTCCATGGCCCCTCTTGAAAAGCCTGTCATGTTTACTGCTTTTCATTCTTCCATTCTAAGGCCAATTTAAGCAACAATTATACACAACCATGTGCAACTCAGCAACTTCACCGAGTTCTTTACAAAGTGAGAACTTTCCTAGCAATTCATTGTGCCAATTTGCTCCGAAATGTCAGCCTTCTCTCAGCTTCCCCCAGCTTGTCCCCCAGAAAAGAAGACTCCATGTGGGAACTGTTCTGCAGTGAATAGCTGCTACAGCTTTACCTTCCCTAAGCTCACGTGGAATAGTATGATAATCTATCAGCCCATCGGGATCTCTGGCAGGCTTTCTGCTTTTGACAGTTAGACAAAAAGCTTTATTATTTTTGTATGCCTTTATAAAGTTGTTCCTCAACATTTTTTTTGCCTACCTCATTATGGTTTATATTTAACCTGCCAAAGTTAATGCTCTTTCCTATTCTCCTCGTTTGGATACAACTCCTGCTTCACAAAGATGACTTATTCTAGGAGCCTTGTTTACTTTACTGTTTAAGCCAGTCCTTGTTCATTTTTGTGGCTTTCCTTCCACCTCTTATTTCCCCTCCCCTCTTGGACTTTTACCATCAAAACTGGACACAGTATTCTAGAAGGCTAGGGTTGTGGGATTTCAGGGAGGTTTGGGTTTTTAATTTTAAATCAGTGCTACTCACAAAATTTCTCAACTTATGTGTGTACATATGAACCTGAAACAGCATTTCAGCTATATTTTGTTGAGATTGCATTAAGCTTTCTCTCTCTCTGTTTCCAAGACAGAGTTTTTCTATCTTGAAGGTATAATCTGCATTTGTTCCTCCCAGATGTCTTATGTCATATTGGATGTATTAACATATATTTTGTTGGACTGTAGCCATTTAAATCAGGCAATCCAGATTGTTCCCTAAAAGTAACCAATCCTTTATTTAGCACTCTCCAATAAGCATATAATCTGCACACTTAACCTAGGATTTTTTCCAGCTGAGATTATTAATGTAGGCATCAAGCATTGCTAGAATGAGAACCGATTGACTGAGGAACCCATTAAGAAAAGAAATCACCAAAACCAACAATAATGAAAAAAACCCCCACCCCCAAAAAATCAAACAAAAAACCCCCTTAAGTTTAGTCTTTCCTTACCAGCAACCACATTCTGAGATTTCTTAGGGCATTGCTCTTTAATTGTGTAGCACTTGCTTATGCTTGGTAAAGTATGAACTCACATTTTTACCATTAAAGAAGCACTTACCAGGGATAGTTACATAATCTGAAAAATATTTGTTCTATCTCAACTATTTCCATCATATTTTGCCTATTTACATTTAAAATTGCACTAAAAAGTCAGGAAACTTTAGAATGGGAAAACATTTATTCATTTTATTCATGCTTGAAAACAGCCAAACCAACTTTATCCAAATAATAAAAAAATGTAACAAAAACACACATTTTATGGCAAAGACCAAGCCTGAAAAATGTCAGCCACAGAGATGATGTTTTCCTAATGATACGAGCAACTGAAAACAAAAGCTAGAATAAAAGAAGTCATGCAGCTCAAATTCTTAAATCAACAGGCAAGCTAATTTGGCTTTAAGAGTACTAAATACATTAAATTATGACACCTGGCTTGGTAATATTAACTTTGCATAGTTCTTTGAGTACAAGAGAAGTTTCATAAGAGAAAGAATCTTAAGTGTAGCATGGAATTCTTTGCAGAACTACCGATCATCTATCCTTACACCAATCCTAGGTAAAATAATGAAATGTCTGACACTGAATTCAAAGAATAAAGAATTAAAGGACATCCTGGAAAAAATGACAACCTTACAAACTCCTTGAAACACAAAAGCCACATAGTGCACTAAAGAAAGCCATAAGATAAACTGAAAGAGAAGTTTTGACTGATCTTTTATGGTTACATTCCTCATTTCTGAGAGCTATCAAAAAGTACTGTAACTTCCCACCCTTTCAGAAGGAAACAAATTCTGAAGAAACTAGTAACACTTCAGCTAACAATAACTTTTCAACACAGTAAGATGCACAACTTGATAATGACATGTCTTAGGAAAGACTCTGGAAAACACTTTCCACTCTTTGGAAAACACTATTACAAAGCCTCCAGGCACCCGTGGGATGCTTTACTCTGTTCTCCCAAGAAAAACAAAAAACGATCACAGTTTTCTACTCCAGGTAACTTACTCTGTTGCTTCATGACTTACCCTTCCTAAGGACTGCATCATCTGGTACCAGCAGTGAGCGTGACCACACATATGTATTATTCACTGACAATATAATTTGTTTTATTACTCGACACACAGAACTCTACTCTTTGAGCAAGCTCCTAGTCAGACTAAAATCAATTAAGCTGTTGCCACTGACCACTCAAACAGCCCAGATTTTCAATGCCAGTCTCCCCCTGAACCAATCAAGTGACAGAGTAATGACACTTTTCAAGACAACCTCTGCACATTATCACCTTGAAGGATGAGAAGTCATCAGGGGAAGAGTGAGAAAAAAGTCCAGTAATTACTTACTTTGGAAAGATGACACTCATGAGCGCTGATGCATAACCAGGCTTGCACACTCCCTCAGAGAAATTTGCATACTTTGATGCCAATTCTGGAGGCCTGTGAAAAAATAAGTAGAGAGTCAGGACTCCTGGCTGTGAGTTGGCTTTTGCAATCATCCAAGTTATTTTTTTCCTTATAACTTTTCTCAAAACCAACTCTGAGGAATAATACAAAATGCAGATAGGTATTTATTTGTTGCAATACAGCATCACAGGAGAACAACAAACAAAGGACAATGTCAAGAGATATCTGAAATACCACTAAACCACTACTTTTGCTGAAAGATTTTCATACCTAGGAAGGTAAAGCTCATGGAAGAAAAATATCAAGATATCATTTTAGACTCCAATCTTTTAAAAGGAAGAAAACAAACAGCACTTTGCTTTGGCTATTTTTCTAAAGTATCATCAAAGTAAAAATATAGAAAAGTATTATTTAGAGTATTATTTAGGAGATACCTTTCAAGCATTTGAAACAAACTGCCAAGCAGTTCTGACAGGTTATCATCACAGGATGCGTGCTTTCATCATTTGGAACAGATGACATTGCTGCTGTTCTGTTGAGATGTGTCTTAATTCAGCTTCCTTAGTGATTTGGGGGCTAAATTCAGAATATTTGGTGTTGGGTTTTTTTTCATTTAGTTTTTATTCAGAAACAAGAGTAGCAACTCAAGATATTTAAATCTACTACATACTTTTACCATAGATCTCCCAAGTGACCTGGAAAAACCATTTACTTTTATTTGTGTCCCTATTCACCACAGGCAAAATTTTTACATTCATCCATTTAATGAAAACATTACAAGGGTTAACTCACTTGGACCTTCCAAGTAACATTAGATACCTTTATGTCAGTCACAGAATGAGAATGATTAATATTCCTTAGAAAGACAAAAAAAAAAAAGGTGCATTTACAGTTATCAGTTACATGCTCAACATTCAGTGGAAGTTGCAAATGTTAACTACTGCAAAGAGTCGATTGATAATATTGTATTTGCTACATCATTTTATTAGTAGTAGGCAAGTAATGAAAGTTCTTTTCCTACATGTCAACAGTAGGAGTCAAATGAAGACAACAGTACAGATTGACAGAGTGGATCCACAAAAATCATTTTGAAGAGCCCATTATTACACAACCACTTTGTTTTCCACACATTGCCAACACGTATGAACATCACCAATATCCGTTAACTAGCAAACAGCTGCTAAATGTAATGAGCACGGATTCAGAAAGTTTCAAGCAAGTGGACCTCTGAGTTGAAGACAGGGTCCTGGAGGCATTGTGAGCAGTGCTGCAAATAGAACCCCAGCTGGCAAAATTATGTATCTAAATGACAGTAACTCCATGATAGCAACTGTCCTACTTGTATTGATTCTGGGGTCGCTTCCCAAGAGATCACTAGCCAGTTCCAACTGGGTGATCAACAGATGGACAGTTAATTTTATAATTAGCCCCATAAAGTACAAAACCTCCTAAATTTATAGTTCTTAAAGAATAAAATCTACTTCTGTCGAATAAAAATCTAAACCTTCAACAGCTGGAAAAGGAAATAAACTGGAGAAAATAAAAAGTCACTGTAAGTATTTAATTTCTTAAGAGCTTTGCAGATTAAAAGTACTAGAAAAAGCTTAAGAACATGGACCGGATCCTAATTCTGCCACAGGCACAGGTTTCCTGTATAGTTTCAGTCAAAACATGTAATATTTTATCATCATAATTCCTCACCTATAGGATGGCAGAACAATACATTTGACTATTTACACTGTCAATTATTTACAGCAAAGTTTAGATTTCTCTAAATATGTTATATTGATATGGAGAGAGATACAGGTGTAACATTGTCTAGCACAACCCAAATGCACGAGGTCGGTTTCCACAGGTGGTATTGTAATACATATCTCCAAATAAGACAGATGAGAAAGCATCTAAGATGTGAGCATCTAGAAGTCTGAATCCCAAAGACTTGCACTGAATGATTTGTGTTCTAACTCCAGTCAGCATCTCTTTAGAACCAGGCACAGGAAGGAAAGGCCTGTTGCTGGCAAAACAGAAGGTTTTAATGGTGCTAAAATATATCCCCTTCTGACACAGTCAAAAGGGACAGCAGGGTGTACAGATCACAGCTTGCTGTAGCATTTCAGACATGAAGTAGTGTGGGAACTCTTAATCTTTATCAAGCAAACTTAAATGTTGCTGGATTTTTATTGTTTAAGCAACATACAGAAACCCCTAATACCAAAATCTTAAAAACAAGTAGAAAGCAACTGGAATTTATTTGCAGCCACCAAGGTAATGAGTCATTGCTGGCAAACTTGTATAACTATTTCAACAGCAGGCCTTTCTCAAATGACCTCAGTGGTCACACAAAGTATCTTGTGCCACAAACACAGGCATTTTCCTCTTTTCTGATTTAACAGCACTTTCATTATCAAATTAAAATGTCACTCAGATGCCCATCATGGTGTTTCATGAAAAGAATAGTAGGCTGAAACCCTCATGCATTTGAGTGGCACAGAACGCCAGGCAGAGCCGCATACTGATGGTGGAGCTGTCAATTACAAAACCCACAAAGATACTCGGAGCTGCTAAAGCCCGAGGGGCTGAGCTGTTAACATTTCTTGGGTGTGATGAAGTTCATGATCCAGAGCGCCAGAGGCAGAACAATTCTCGTAAGCCAATTGTAGCTGCCACCTCGTATCATTCAACACTTGCTCTCCTCCTTTCTTCTAGCTACATAATGAACCAGCAAGCTACAGAAAACAGAAATGGGCACTCTACATTTTAAATCCATCTAGGGCCACATTTTATTTATTCGATTTCTTCAGATTACACATTGCACACTGTCATTACCAGCACACTCAGGACAATAAACCTACACTAGGTGTAACTCAAAGCAAAACATTTAGAGTAAGGCTGGATACAGCCTGGCTGTCTAGTATTCTGCTACCTCATGAAGCTATCCAAGCTAACATCATTTTAGATACATAAACTTGCTTTATAGCTTTTTTTTCTGCAAGATTCACAGATCTCACAGATTGCTCTTCCATAAATCAGACTGCAAAACACCCTGTCTGAAGTGTCCCATAGAGAACTATATATTTTTCAAATAAATTCAGCTTTGTAAAATCACACTTCTGTTAGTAGGTACACAGTTCTGTAAGAAAAAAAGTATGCAGAAGTGAAACGTATGAATAAGCATCTCCGTCACATGTGATGACAACGTACTTTTACACTGCTGCATGTAATGCTAATTCCTTGATTATGTTTCCTGTTTCCAAATGGAAGAAGCACTATTACTGAAAGTACATTCTGCAAAGGTTGCCTGACAAATTACCAAAACATGGTGCGCAGCATTACAAGAGCTTATGTTGGATACTCCTTTTATAATCCTGAATGCTGCTTACAACAGATGGGTCAAGAACTATGCACCAAACCAAACAGTATTACTTTCTTAGTGCTTTACTAGTAAATAACTTCATCTCCCTCGCTCCATTACTGTGCCTGGAATCCAAGAATCACACAGAAAGCTGTTGAGGTAAACCAGCCAGGGCTATCCTGACTAACAAAGGTGCAAACCTCCTCTACATCTTCCAAGTCCAAGCACATCTATTCCAGCTCCTGATTCTCATGCTCCTAGTTACAGGGAGAGCACCAATTTGTCTGAGGTAGTTAAAAAGCTAGTGGATACAGCAGAAAGGATATGATTAGATGACACTGTGGACCCTTAAATTTTGCTCACATTTTGTGCAAGAAAAACTCGCTAATACATTTTTTCAGAATAAATGAGGGAAACAATTCATAGTCAGTAACTGTAAACATCTGCAGTTGTTTTTAAACAAGTACCTGCATGAGGGTGAAGTTAAAGGGAAGTAATTGGCTCATTCCACTAAAAAGAAAATGCACTCTTGTTTCCCCCCCCACACACTTTTCTCCTAGGAGATTAGCAGATATCTTGAATTCTTAAGATTTTCTGTGCTTCTCTACACTGTTATGTGAACATCAATCTTAAGAAAATTTCACAATTTGGATAAGTTAAAAATCCAGCTGCTTTCAGAGGATTTAGAAAAAGTAACAAGATTTTTCCCTCTGCTTGCATTTGGCAGATGTGTGCCTTGTAATCTCAAATATGAAAACGTCACCATGGTTAATTCCTTCATCGTGTCTTGATCATGGACAGCATGCCACCCTCATAGGACTGGAATCTAAATCCATTTTAAAGAAAGAAATTAGTAATACAAACTCAGTGTTTGGACTACTAAAAAAAATGTCCACAACTAAGCTCAAGTAATTGAATATTACAAAATCTACTTTAAGAGACAGATTTTGCCATTTTGTCTTCAACATAGAATTTAAATTGTGGGTTGTAAAAAAAACTTCATCTGCTTGAGAGCATCTTGTTTGAAGACTGACTTCTCTTGCTGTTACTCTCGCACACAAAATATATGTACTGATACGTTTCTGAAACAAGGGAAAGGAGTTCTTTGGCAACGTGCTCTCTAGGTTGACCCTTCGCCTTGGAGTTTTCTCTTTCTTAGGTCCAAAATAACCCGAGTCTTATACCTATACAGCAGCTCTACAAAGTGTATGTCATGATGCCTGAAGAATGATAGGAGACGTGATGAGAACATGAAAAGACAGGCATGTAAAACGTAGTGATTATAATGAAGTTATATTCAAACAATATTACGAAGTAATTTGGCAGATCAAAAAAGGGCAGATCGCTAAATCAAAGCAATTGATGCTGAGACCTCATATCTACACCACGTGACATTCAGGGTGTTTTATTTTAAATAAGACTCCAGTCAGATTCCCTAGGCCAGATGCATCCATCACATACATATATGGCTCAATGTTGGCCAAAAGACCAAGTTTTAGTTTGGACTCTAAAGTCCCCAATTAAACATCACTGCATTTTGTAGACTCCTGGAATAATGCTCTCCATTTCGTTTCCCCCAGATAAGCCCAGGGTGACATTTCTGTCAGCGTACAGGAGAAACAATTATGGGATTTGCTTCAAAATTGCACAACTACTCCCAATGAGACACTAATGAAGACAC